AATATAATATCACGTGTTGCTTTCTCAAGTGGTATTGGCGTACAGATTAGTTATAACTGCTGTAGCATTTATTTACCAGACAAAAATACCTGACTATTCTGCCTCAACAACTGTAGTTCCTAGACACATACTTAGAGATAAACCCGTAGTACATTTTATTTTCTTTTCTATTTCTCAGCTCTAGTTCCTGAAAATATCTTTAGATTTTTACTGAAGGGCACATATGTTCAGTTTTCCATTTTTTAGTCCAAATCCAAAAAATACATTGTATTGACTGTTCTCTTTGCAAAGTGCTACTTCCTGACTTGTTTTTTACCTGTTTGGGAGGTTTTTACTTGTTTTTTACCCACCAAACAGTGCACTCTTCCACACATTAAGCAGCCAGATTTTTTGGGAGAATGCTGTGAGAAACAATGTCAAAGATTTTACTGAAGTCCAGGTAAACCATATTCACCGTCTTTTCCTCATCCACCAAGCAGGTAACTTGGCTGTAGATGGAGATGAGGTTGGTCAAGCAGGACCTGCCTTTCATAAACCCATGTTTGTGCTGGTTTGGGCCTGATCCCTGCACATACCGTGTGGGGACACTCAGAATGACCTGCTCCATGACCTTCCCTGGCACCAAGGCTGGGCTGACAGGCCTCTGAATCATCCTTCTGGCCCTTCTTGTAGATGATTGTCACATTTGCCAGGCTCCAGGTACCTGGGCCTTTCCCCTTTAACCAGAACTGCTGGTAAATGATGGAATGTGGCATGGTGAGCATTTCCACTGGCTCCCTCAGTAACTTTGGTGGATCCCATCTGGTCCCATAGGCTTGTCTGTGTGTCTAAGTGGTGTATCAGGGCACTGACCATTTCCCCTTGGATTATGGGAGCTTTCTTCTTCTCTCTGTCCCTGTCTTCCAGCTCAGGAGGCTGGGTACCTGGAAAACAACGGGTCTTGTTATTAAAGACAAGGAAGTGAAGGCATTAGGTAGTCTTTTCCTCATCCTTTGCTATGTTTCCACCACGGCCAGTAAAGGGTGGTGATACTCTTGGTGGGGACACTGCTGCATCATTCACTTGCATTGCTGAGATCTGTTCTCCTTTCTCCCAGCACATTAGAAAATTTCTCAATTAGAAAATTTCTTACATTAGAAAATGTCTCAATTTCTACTTTCTCCCAGCACATTTCTCAATTAGAAAATGAGGCAAAACTGTAATCGTTGATTTGTTAAAACATTAACTTAGAGTTGTCATTTTATTTCCTGAAGTGACATAACTTTAGGTATGAAACAGAATTTTCTGGGTAACTATAGCTGGTGAGATTTTATGCTGTGTGACTGATTACATTGAGGGTAAATTTCATATGAATCCTGTCAACAATGATAAATTGCTTATTGTTCATTGCAGTCTACCCATCAGGCTAAGTTAATGCAACTACAGCATGCTCCAGTTTTTTAAGGATAACACTGGAGGCTTTTGCAGATTATTTTAAATTGTGACAAAGTCCTGTCAGGAGAAATTCCAATTATTTTTTTTCTAAAATAGTTAAAGAGAAGCAAAATCTACGCAGAATCTAAGCCACCAAAATATTTAAAAATGTGAAGCTTATTCTTTTTAGTTAATCAACTAGAGATACATTTAAATTATGTATTGTTTTGTTCATTTTCTAATTACTTAGAAATAATCTTCAAAAGCTTATCTGAATATATATCTGGATATATACACAGTGTACAGAAAGTCCATTTAAACATGTACTTTTTTCAGTTGGGTTTCACATGATGAACTTTGCAAACATTTAGACCATGTTAGCTTTTCTGTTTTATAGGAAAAATCTTCTGTCTTAAAAGTAATGTTGTCTTTTATGTTAATTTGTAAACTTCAAAGTCAGAACATTGTTATGACATACATGTGTGTGTGTGTGTGTGTGTGTATTGTTTTCTTAATGTAATATGTTTAAGGAACCAAAAAGAGCAGGGTAGCAAAGAAATATTCAGGTCAGCTAAATATGGTATTTGTTTACCCTGCAGAAAAGGAATTAAAAGTGTTTTATGGCTATTTAAGGGTATTTATAGGAACAAATTGTAGGATTGCCCTGTTCATCCAAGGAGTCCTTGTTACCTTCAGATCTCTCATGAATCAGAGGTCAGATGAGTCAGCAGTCATACTAAAAGAGTTTTTTAAAGCCATTTGTTGTCTTAACAGGCAATAGAAAGAAGGAAAGTCTTCTCAGTTTTTTTCTTGAATGTAAAATGTTCTCACACATTTATTTATTCTTTTCTTCCCTTTCTGATAAGCATCTTTGGTAAGAAAAAGATAGTGTTTCAAGTTTTTGTTGTTAAAACACATTTCATCAGGGGTGCAGTGCAGGTTGATAGGACCAACCATTTCTGTTTCTTGAGAATAGGCAATCATTTGGGGGAAATGTGGCAAATTTTAGAAGAATCTCTATAAATTTGTAGCTCTATAGAATTCCTAAAAGTTACAGACTACATAATTTGTAGTCCTAGATTTTCATTGCTTTAGAGAAGGTTATCTCTTCCTGCTATTGTACAGAAATTTTACTTCAAGCACTCTTCAGTGATAGAAAGATTTGGTCAGGAAGCACTCTTAAGATCATGATTGTGTTCACTGGGCTTTGCTTATTTGCTGTTTCTGTTCATAGTTTTGTCACCACTTCTCATGTATTTTAACAAGCTAGACTCACTAGGGCATTACAGCATCATACCAGAAGTGAAATTTTAGGTAATTATTTTTCCAGGTTTAAGACTCTGCTGTATGTAGTTAATAACCCCAGATTTCTGCCACAGAGAGCAGTGGCTCAATAAAGAGCCCTGAGCCTTGAGTGTATGTCAGTCACGTATCACTAAATGTAGCACATGTGGTGAACTCATCTTTGGATTTTCTGTTTGCTGTAATTGACAGATAACCCTGAGGGTTTTTATATGACAATTTCTGAAAAATAATACCTTCTGCAGAGAAAGTACAGAAATACTGAAAAAAAATCAAGTCGTATGTTTTGAAGACCATAAGCTAAAATGTAAAGTGAGAAATAGTATCTTTACTTATCTTTTTGTCACTTATTACTGCTTTCTTTCCTACTTTACTTTCATTCTGGCTTTATATTTATTACTGTTACAATTTAGAGACAGCAAATTCCAACTGGAAATAGTACTAAAGCAGAGAGGACAACGTACATAAAACCATAGGTGTATTGAACATGGTAGGAAGAATGCAAGAAACATGGAAGTAGATGTAAACAGGAAAGCAAATTAATTTATAGTGATTTATTGCCTTGATAATGCATATCTCTTTGACTAATTTTTGTTTTGCATTGCTTTGGGTAAAGAAAAGAGGATACTTCAGCTATATAAACCACAAAACATCTGCCTGCCTTTTCCAAACTTTACAGAACATCAATTGCTGTTGCTTTTTATTGCTGCAAGGTTGGCCTCTTGCTACCAAACTCTGTTATTATCCTGCGTCTGTATGATTTCCATCCACACATTCCATTATGTATGTTGTGGATCCCATCTGTTGAATCCAGCATTTTAAGTCAAAGGAGCAAAAGCACCTCAACTGAAAAGAGAGGAAAGATTATTTATAGTTGTAGTCTCTCTGATCGGTGATAGAGGCATTTGCTGTTTCTCAGTCTCTTCATTTGAAGGTATAAACCAGCAAAGGCCCACAAGTCTCATGAGTTCCCTGTGTATTAGGGAGGTGGCACTTGGTCATTTGTTGGAATAGAAATAACTGGGTCCTTACTGACTATTCAGCATAAATGCAGAGTGCAGAAAATTAGTTATCTAAGCTCTCAGGCTGACTTAAATGCCAAATTGATTTCTTTTTTAAGCCCTTTTTCAAACAGTTTTCTGTAGCATTTCTTCAGATTTTTTATCAGTAAACCTTCTGAAATAAATTAAAACCTTGAATTCACTCCAAGGCTACTAGTTGCATTTAATAAGTTGTATGTCCTTGAATGAGGAATAGCAAATTTTGACCAAAACGTACATCCAGCCCTTTTTGCATTGATAAAAATATCTTGATATCCTATTTATAAATTACACTATTCAGGATACGAATTTTTCCTAATGTCTTGTTTGTTGATTTATGCTGTAATTTGCATATTGCAGCTTCTTATTAAGGGGAAACACATTAAATATTTTGACATTATGCAATTAAAATATTTTCCTCGCATGTGTATTCTCATAATGCAAATGCCCTGTGGTATATGAAAGTCTGTTAATTTTAAATAAAAATAAATTGTTACTTCTTTTCTTTATGTTTTTGCTGTAAATTAATCTATAATATGAGAACCAAGAATGAAATAACCAGGGAACAGATTTAATGTTATTTTGAAGTTACTAGATTTTGGGAAACAGGGTAGGGGGAAATGCTTTTCAGTGTGACATAAAAACTCATCCACTATTTTAAGGGAGAGGTTTTTGTGTTTAATTGTTGTACAGATCTGACTTTCACCTCTTAATTACTGTGTTTTACCTCTTTATTACTGTGTTTACTCTTTTGAAACTGAGTACAGGGACAGTATGCTGATAATGAAAGACTCTCAGGTCTCACACAGTCTTTTATATGTACTATCCCTGCCCATGTGATCTGCAGCAGTTTAAAATATTTCTGAGTCTTTTTGCTTAGCTTAATGTTCCTCTCCCATGGTCTGAAGGAAAAAAACATGATAAATGAGCATTGCATAAACATTTTCCATCTAAGATTTTTTATTTGAGTTTAAAATTATTGTTTCCTGTTTTCCTTTGTTTTCAAGAGAATAGACACTGCTTTAATTCAAGGATCCATAGTGTCAGAACTCTTAGGAAGCTGCATTTTTTCAGTTTCTAGTTTCACCTGAGTTTTGCATCACATGTTCAACAGAAACTGAAATATTTGGTGGTTGTAATTATTGCACAACAAGCATTTAAGGCCTTCTGAAGGTATCAATAGCAGTTATACTTTCCTCTGCACTGAACTCTGTGATACAGTTTTTAAATTATTTTCTTTTCCAGGTTCCTTACAGCCTTTCCTGGAAGCCTGCAGTAATGAACCCTTCTTCCAGACTTGCTCTGTATTGCTTCGAAGTTCTAAGCTAGATATTGCAGTTCTGGAGAAGCTCTGTGTTATACTGCAAAAACTCTCCAGAATAAAGTAACCCTTTATCACTATTATTCTGTTAGCTATTATTAGGTTAATGAACTTGGTGACCGTTATCTTTTTTCTTATCCAAAACTCATCTCTGTTTTTCTGTGTATTCCCTCCACCATATACAATGCTGGACTTTTAATAATTGTAGCAGTTAAATTTTCAGTCATAGAGATTTAAAACAAGCCTCTCAATTAGTGCACAAATGTAGTTCAGTTTGCTGAGTACAAACTAGAAAAAAAGCCTCACAATGCAGACTTAAAGAGGAATTATTCCTTACATCTGCAGGTGACAAAAATGCTTAGAATTCTTAGAGGAGAATCCTAGACTTCCATTTTTACTCAGGTACTTAGTAGTAAGCTCCTTTGAAAATTTAGTCTTATCTTTGACTTGCATTCAAGCTTCATCTGTTTTCATTTCCTTCAAAAAATTTAAGATTTTGAGCCAGTTAAGCCCTTTTGGGAATATTAAACTTTTTAAACTGTGTTCTCATTGCTTACTGATTATTGGGTTATTGTAACAAAGGTTATCATATTAGTAGTTATTTGCTACTGAGCTTCACTGGCACATTGCTCAGTGGAGTTGTTTCATTTATGTAAGGGGATATCTAAACTGAGGAATTTTTACATTGGACTTAAAGCTGTTGACAAAACGGAGGTTTTCGTTCTTGTAAGGAATAAAATTAAACTCTAGGAAAAAGGAGCTTACTATAAAATAATCTAATATAAATTATAACTGACATTTTCTAGTCAAAGTAAAATTGGCTCATAAATCCTATTTTTTTAAAATTTATTGTCTCTGAAATCTTGTTTCACATGAGTGAAAAGCCCTGTTACAGACTTTCCTTGAGCTTCCATTGTACTATGTGTACACATCACTTACTCAAGAAAACTGATAATTTTTGTTAATTTTTTGCCAAATTTTTCTCACCATATAACCTTATGTTTAGAAACATACATCGAATTTTATTAAATACTCAAAATAATGCACATTTAACTTCATTAAAAATATATTTTCTATAGCATGTTTAGTGTTTATATGAAACCTCTCAATTTTAAATTGACAATTATTTTATTCAAAATCTTTTGCAGAAGCAATAAGAAGCTGTTTGAAATGTTTGGTCTTCATCGAATGTTCCAAGAACTGCGTAGAACTGTAGATCCAGGTCACACCTTCCTCTGTATAAACCTCAATTCAATTCTGCTGAATTTGGAATTCTTGAGGAGTAACTCTCTTGACTCCAGTCTAAGCACAAGTCACTAGCACGAGCTTTCAATCTAATTATTGTTCTGTATAAATTATACCAGCTGCCTATGTTACTTGAAATTTGGAGTTGTTTTTTTACTGATTTGTATAAATATGTTAAGCAGTACCTCAGTACTGTGTAATTCGCTGTATATCATGTGGATTCTCACTTATATTTCACTCATTCATAAAAAGGAAAATGAAAAACTTTGTAATATGCTAGATGGCTCTCTTCAATATTTTCTACAGAAGTGAAATGATGCTGCTGTTGTGAATGACTCATGCAATGTCAGCAATTGAATACTTAGAGTAAGCAGATCAGAAATACCAGTCTTTCCTTACAGGTATGAATCTTAGTTACTTTTGACTCTTCAGCAAGTTTTATAATCTTTAATTTATTTTATGGTTGATAAGTAGCAGACAGGTATCTTAGAAGATTATATTTTGATAAACCTGCAGTTTTAATGATTAAAACCAGATTTTAATTTAACATAACTAGATGTATTGAATAAGAAATTTTGTTGGTTTGATTTCAGAATTTTCTTAGAGTTTGTTTGATCTTTTCCTGTATTTAAGTAACATTTAGTACTTTTTCCTGCCTTGTATAGTGCAACTTTGGATAGTAATAACTTTGTAAATGTAAATAAAAGCATTTCTTAAAATGTCTGGCAATAATAATTTGTAACATAAAATTGTTTTATTTTATTTCTTCTGCTGTTTTTTGTTTTAATTTCCAAGCAATCTTCGCAGTACCCATGTTTCTTTTCTGAGTATGAATATGAACTGCCACAGTTCAGTGTTTAGAAGTTCTTACAAATTGGAAATAGGATACTTCTAAAAATTAAAATTAGTCTTCCATTGGTGATTTGTACTGTAAATACTGAAAATCTATGTTTGTAAAATTGAAAATGCAGTTAAAGCTTAAAGATATGCTGTATTTCAGTATTTGACTAACACTGACATCAGTGTAAAACTTCGGAGAGTTTTTATTTCTCATTTTTGCCTTTTTTTCTGTTTGTTTTTGGTTTCGTGATTTTTGGTTGGTGGGTTGGGGTTTGGGTTTTCTTAGTTTTTTGGGGGGTGGAATGTTGGTGGATTTTTTGTTATTGTTGTTTTTTACCAGAAGTATTTGAACTGGTCTTTGAAATTGAATTCTAACTGCAAATATTTTTCTAGCAATTTGACTTAACATTTCTAACAAGCTTTTCTATGAAAGGAGTCTACACCAGATTTGGCACCATGTATGTCTAGAAGAGAGAGCGAGCATTGTGCACTCTCTTGGCAGGAAACCAACTCTAGGTGATTTTTAAATAACACTAATCACAGCTAAAAGAATTTTCTGATAATCAGTTTCATTTTGAAATAAGTATTTCTTCATCAGTAGTTTTGGGTTTCTGTCAAATTTACCAGCAGTGCAAAAGCTTGCATATACCTTTGGCTGGAGACAAAATCCTGTTATTTAGGAAGAATATTCCCAGTCCTCATGTTCCACACGTTTCTCCACCTACTACCATTTAAAAATACTACAAAAATCAATAACCAAAAAAAACCTGTAGAAAGTTGCTAGCTTTTTTATCTCCACAGGAATGTTGATTGTGCTCTTAGTTTTCAGCCTTCATTGCTGTAGTTTAATCTACTAATCTTCCTGGGATTCCCAATTTAACACAAGGTGGTCATTTAATAATGGCAATGCATTTAAAAGAGACACATTGAGTACAGTGTGGTTTTTAATATTGGTCCCTTGTGGTTTATGTACAGTATTGTTTACACTCTAGAAAATTGAATCACAGCTAATTTCAAATTTTTATGATCTAAATGTTAGGTTTCTGTTAAAATGCAAAATAAAAGAGTTTTCCAATCTGTTAAATATTGATGCATTATACTGCATCAATGACCTAAGCATTAGACTAGTCATTTTGATCTTATGCAGATTTTCAAGGCCAGGTTAGGTGGGGCATTGAGACAATTGGTCTGGTGAGAGGCGTTCCTGCCCTGAACATCTGAACAACCCCAGTTGTTCACACCCGCCCTTGTCATGGCCTTGCTCAAACATCCCCATCCTGTTATTATTCCCCTGAGTGACCTTGGCAGTCTCTGTGGAGAAGGGGAAGAGAGTAAGCCAGTTGCATTCCCTGCTGGTATTTGTGGATTTGTCTTGGGTTTTGGAAATGATAGATTTCTGTCAAGTTGGCCACACTTTGGGCATCTCTTTGTGTTGTCTTTCCCTCACAGATGGAATCCAGAATTTTCTGTGGATTCTTCTGCTTTTGTGGCATTTAGATACTATGAGTATTTACATTTCTTCTACTTTACCTTTCTTCCAGAAAGCTGTCTACAAGAAGAGATATTTGAAAAAGTTAACTGTACCTCTAGCTATTTCCTGCAGCTCCCTGCTCCCTAAGGAAACATGTTGTATGTGATCTCGGTTTTCTGGTTTCCTGCAGAAGAATATGCTGTTTTAGCTATGCCAGACACCTCTGTCAAGAGGTGAATTAATATCCTTCCAGAGAATATAATTTTTCAACCATTTTTTGTGAGAGAATTTGACGGGAAGCGAGAGACATGATGACCACTCGCCCTTAAAAGAAAGGCAGGGACTCTCACACTTCCTGTGAGCTGATCAGTTAGAACACAGAGCTTCAAACTGGCTACAGTCTGCCTTGTCTTGCTTATGTTTAGGTCTCCAGAAGTGATCAACTACCATCACTGCCATGAAACAGAAAATTTCTTGCAGTCGCAACCTACTGCTTTAAGAAAAGATAAAGAATTAACACACAATTTTGTCTTGCTGGTTTTCATTGAAAAAAACATGAAAAAGTCAACAAGAGTATTGCATCTCTTCATGTTGAGACAGTTTTCCTACCAGAAAAGACTACCAAATATGATGAAAAATAATTTCCCTTTTTTTTTTTCTTACAGGCCTGTCTACTGTAGAATTGTAATCACCCTTGCTGTTTATAAAAGGTTTCCTATTGATAAATTTTTCAGACCTCATCTACAAAGCCTAGATTTAGCAGATCTGTGAGTAAGATTGTTCCCTGGGCACAGGACAGTTGTATTTGCAGAAGCTTGGCACAGCTAAATAAAGTAGGCTAACATTACCCAGCCTGCACAGTTGTGCTCTGTTTCTTCATATTTGTGACTTCCAGCAGATGATAAAAGGTCTGAAAGTGGGATTTCAGTGTCATTTTCCGTTATCCTGAGCATGACTGGCTTGCATCTCTTTCTAATGTTATATAGCTGAATTTGATATATATAATAGGGAAAGATTTCTTGTAGCAGATAAATTTACCTGGAAGGTGAAGGTATGCTGAAGGCAACATATTTTGAAGAACTTCTATTCATGGTCAGCATTAATGTCTAAAATATATGATTTAACTTACCAGACCAGATTTAAAAGGAGCTGTAAGTAGAGCTCATAATTCAGAGCTGTTTCACTGAATCCTTTAATTATATACTGAATTTTTCACCTAAAACTTATATGGCTTTGGAGATTGATGATCTGATAAAAAGCATTTATCTTCAGGGTAATGTATTTAAATGTAGTACAGAAAGTTGGAAATTTTGATCTATGAAATTTGGTAATCTTCCACTTTCCAAATGGTTAAAGGGACTGCAGTGGCAGAGCAGTGACCCCCTGTGTTCCTCCGAATGATGTAATGCTCACTCATTTTTAAAACTCACAGAAATTATTGTAAAAGTAATAGTGCTGTGCAGCATTGAGATCCTGCCTATTCCACACCCCCGAAGAGCACTGTGATGGGCAAAGGCATTTTTATGTGTTATACTGACTCCTGTATTGTGTTGTGTCAAAACCACCGCTATCCATCTTGTCTTTTGGGCTGATGAAACACTTGAATGCCATCTTCTGACCATGGTTAGGATTATCCTTGCTTATTAGACTTTTGTTTTTTACATAATTTTGAAAGCAAGTGTATCTATGACTCCCTCATTACTACTAAAAGAGATAACTTTGAACAAAATCACTTTCTGTTTGCTTGCTTGTAGGTACTTTTTTTTTGAGTCATCCTGAGTTGAAATGTAACAAGATATAACAAGACATTCTGATCTCTAAAGTCACACTGAGAGAATTAACTGAGGAAAAGAGATCTGAGAAGCCATATATATTTTTTCCCAGAAACCAGTTCTCTTTGTGCTCATTACTCAAGCATATTTAGACTGACCCAAGGAATATTTCCCTGAATATAACATGTCTCTCTGATCACTGCAGCTTAATGGTAAGTAATTGCTCTGATAGATTTACCCAAACTAGGGCTGCAAATTCAGAGGCCAGGATACTGCTAACAATAGTTGAAACTAATAAGTTTACTTTAAGATCATCTTCAGGTCCATAAAATGGCATCCTTAGTACAGTTAATTGTGTACATCCTTAGTACAGTAAAAATAATCTATCCAGCCTCAGGGGGAAAAAAAGTATCATAAGGTAGAGTTTCAAACAGGAGCATAATATCCCACCCACACATCAGCTTTTTGGAAAAGTAGCAGGCTTTTGAAGAAGGTTGGAGATAACTAGTGTTGCCAGACTGGTTTTTTGCTTTGAAAGAAGCAATATTCTAGTGCATGGATTCAAGAGTTATTTATATAAGAAATGCAGTTAAACATAATTTCTCAGTTTATGATCCTTCAAAGCTGCAAAGTAGCAGTTGGATGTCTGCTTGATTTGTCCTCCTCCCTGCTGGAGTATAAGGAAGTGTGAGGAGGATTTTTTTTCACAGCAGTCTTGCACGCCAAGGCTGAATTTCAGAAGCAGATGCTGAACTCTGTTTCCTCCGTGGTTATTCAATTGTCCTACTAATCAGTCTTCAGCACTACCTCCTCCTGATTTTTTGTTTACTTCTATGTGGTAGATTAAGTTGGAAAATAATTCCTGAATTGTCTTGCTATACTAACTTGTATCCTTATACAAGCTTGTTGTTACAGCAGTCTCAATTATTAAAAAAATCTCTTTCTTAAAATAAAGCAGATGGGCAAATGAGATGCCTGTGTGTGCCCTGTGTAACAGCTAATCACTGTTGCCTTCTGCAGCAGGGATGCCTTCTGCAGCAGGGCATTCCTCCCTAAGTATTCAGACAGTCTAGTTTCACAGAACAGTGGCAAAAAGAAATCAACATTTTCTGTCCTTGAACAGTAGTTGATAGTGATAAATTAATGCCTGAGGTAACAGGTGTTATGCACTATAAATCATATCAAGAGTACTTATTTGGATGTGGGGATAGAATATATATGCAATATGATGCATCTAGAACTAGATACAGCCTGTGACAGTCCATTCTTGCCCTGTTTATATTAATATATTTAGTGAAATGTGCACTAGGAAGCCTCTCCCATATATAATGAGCGCATGGGCTCAGTTTTATTTTTATTATCAAGACAAGTATAGAGCTTGCTTGAAGAAGAGTGACTTCTGCATACAGGAATGATTGTTGTACCTCTGGGTAATGATTTTCACCTGCAACAGTAAGAATTAATAATTAAGAATCTCTTAATTACACCTTCCCTAATACAAAGCAGGACTGCTGAACTGTCTGAAACTTAGAGTTTGCCAGGGAGAAATGGAACTGGCATGGAACTTTTCAGCTCATAATCCAACCCATACTGCTGGCCATTTATGCACATGCTCATGGATAATGTGAATATTATTA